TGGTCTATCCCTTTAGTCCTCTTCGTTTTTCCACAAATATTTCAAAATCACATTTGCTTAAAATGTCAGAAAGATCCTAATTTATTTCCTGGTGATAATTAGAGATGTCTGGCCTGGGCAATTGTAAAGACTTTCAGACCTACAGTTTCTATTTCTATGAGGTCTAATAGTATTATCTTTATATTATTATTTTTCAAAGACTAGAAATCACATGTGAAAAAATTTAATGAACAATCTGGCTTTTAGGGGTAATATATTTTTCATTAAGATAATTTGTAAGATTAAAATAATTATCACAGACAATTTTATACAATATATATTCCCAAAATTATATACACGGAATTAATATACAAGAATACTCAAACCACATAATATTGTCCCTATAGATGACTGTATTTGAAAATCCTTTACACACTGTCTGTCATATCATATCTTCTTAATAAACTCACATGCCACACTGCTGAATATTAATGCTTGAGTACTAGTATTTCATTTATCCATCATATTTTAATATAATAATCGTAGAAAATTCATTCATTGTTTCCACAAAGGATCTACAAAAAACGAATGAACCTCATAATTCTACCACAAAATGACTTGTAATATGAGTGCAGTAAAATTATAAAATCAAATGTGCTGATTTAATTGAGGTTTTTTAACTTAATATTTGATAGTATTTAATTCTCTAGACACAGGACTGCTAGATACAACATATTGCCATCATTTAATTAGGAAACCATCTACTCTTCACCACTTTATCTTAAATTACGAATGAATTTTTACTCTTCTTCTAAATCATGTCCATTTACAAAGTAACACTCACATTTCTAAAACTGGAAATTACTAGATTAATAATTGTGTACATTAAAAAAACTTTTTGTATAAGAAATCAAACTACTTTTCAGAAATAAAGGCTTGCCACTAGCTTACGTTTCTCCCTTTTATGTACTACTTGGAAAGATCTATGTTTCTTTCCCCTGTGGTCTTTTTCTAGCTGGAATCTATTCAAGAGATTCATGTAAATGACCCCAGTCAATGGTACACCCAGAAGATCATGTGCTTATGTTTCTGTGTATTGTAAAAACGTTTTTATTTTTAAAGTAGCAAAATGGATTTATATTTACTTGATTTATGTTAGTGTTAATTCTAAATATATTACATATTTAAAACTGAGAGGAATCTCTTTTTATAATCAGGAGTCATACATTTGCCCTTCCTGCATGTATCTAAAGGTACTAATTTGATACTAATGTACCACATTTTATAAAAAAATTATGTCTATATATACTTGTTTTTATTTGGAATAGATTGAAAAGAAATCTGTATGTCAGTGTCGCAAGTCTAGAGGGAGAATGTTTCAGAAATCATGAGGACCTGTGTGGGACTCCACAGTATTCACAATACTTAATAGTGCATGCTTGTAGCAACAGTAAAGGAAAAGCAGAAATAGGTAAATGATGCTCTAGATATCTCGCCAGCCAACCCAGACCATTGAGCAATCCTGTATCAAAACCAAGTCAGGCAGTTGCCTCAAGATTGACGCCCAATATTGATCTCTGCCCTTCACACATATATATGCCACACATAGTGACTTAGGTACACACACACACATACAAACACACACACACTCACACACACACACACACACACACATACATGCACATGCTGCATAGAGGGTCTCATCCCTTCTGTGTAGCCTGAGTTATTAAATGATTTGGGCTTCATTTCAGTATCAATTTGGAACATTCACAGGGTTTAAGGATAGCTATACAAAAGCAAGGAGGCTGATAAGGATACAGCTTTATTTAAAAATCAACCATGATTTCTGGTTGGACCACATAGAAAAAACACCAATATCACAGACACAGTTCCTCTCTCCCGACTTCTTCTCTATCTTGTGTGTGATGTGATGCCGTGCCTCACCTCATGCTCTCAATTCTGTTCAATCTTACCTTAACATTCCAGGTAATAGATCATTGACTGAAGCTTCTAAGGCCTAAGAAAGAATAATTTCTTATTAATTAGTTATTCATATGGGTGCATCTGTGTGTGTGTGTCCGCAGTGTGTGGGTGTGTGCACAGGTGCCTGAGTGAGAGTGTGTGTGTGTGTGTGTGTGTGTGTGTGTGTGTGTGTGTGTGTGGTTTTAGAGACAGGGTCAAGGGTAGATCAGGATTTTTGCAAACTTTGTATTTCTTATCTTCTGCTTCAGTCTCCCAAATTCTAGCGTTACAGACATGAACTACTAGACACAGTTAAGTCTTTTTCTTTCTTTTTCCCCCCCTGTTTTTGTGTTTGTTTGTTGTTTGCTTCTTTGTTTAAGACAAGTTTCTACTATGTAGCCTCAGTTACCTTAGGATTCAGTATGCAAACAAGACTGGCCTTGAATTCATAGAGCTCTGCTTGCATCTTCCTCCAAAGTGCTAGAATTAAAAATATATCTATATCTATATCTATATCTATATCTATATATGTATTTATTTAATTTCAATGAGTTTTTTTTTTTTTGTCTACGTGTATAGATGTGTAGCACTTGTATGGCAAAGTCTGCAGAAATCAAATGAAAATATAAGAAACCCTTAAACTGGAACAATAGTTGGCTGTCAGCCACCAAATAGGTGCTAGCAACCACACTCGGGTTTTCAACAAGGGTAACAAGTTGTCAAAAGATAAATTGTGATTGCTCCAGCGGCAATTTGTTACCTGTCCATTATTTTAATCATTACTCATTCCAGATTTATTCATTTCTACTTCATGTCTAAAGATCACTTTGGGCAGACATAAAATTTTCAGATGATATGTTTTTGTATTGATATTTATACTGTTTTGATTAACTTTAAAACATTTCTTCTAACTCCTACTGTTTCAGAAAAGAAATTCGCTGTTGGTAATTACATTTGGAGTCACCATATACATTGCTCCTTACTGCCTGCTCCGTGTTATCTCTTGGGCAGTTAATGTTTACAGGTCGAATACGGTACACCTTATGGAAATTATGAAGACGTTTATAACCTTTGAAGTTCGTTCAGATTCTTGAATTTCTAGTTCTGTGTTTTATTGGTTTACATGACTTTAAACAAATTTGTGTTTGTACTTTTTCATACGATTTGATGTAGTTACTTTTCTATTACTACAAGAAAACACTGTGGCCACGGAAACTCTTTTCTAAAACTTTTTTTTTTTTTTTTGGTTTTTTGTGAATTTCCCGTCATGCACCATGATCCCACCCATCTCACTCTCTCCCCAATCCCTCCCTCCAGCATTGAACCTTCCTCCCCAACTGAGAAAAAAGAAAAAACTCATTATGGAAGATGTAGTGTATGACAGTGTGTCTGCATTATGTACTTCTTTGCTTGCAAATATTTACTGCAGTGATTTCTTGGTCTGGTACAAGGCCTCTGGCTTCACTACTCTATGAATCTCACTGGACCTCCTCTCCGATAGCCTGTTGTTGCCTTGTGTCATGAAGATCCTGTAGTTGTGAATTTTTAGGGTTGGCACCTTCCTTCACCCCATTAGTTTATCCATGGAATAGACTTTGGGGTGTGCCAATTCAAAGCTCTAGATCTGGGCCTGAGAATTATCTGAGCTCCTCTGAGTCCAAAGGCTCCCCTATTCTCATTCCCTCGGGGCTGGCTTATCAGCTTGTGATAATCATGGCCAGATTTATGTTGCTGCTCAGGTGAGGTGCCTGACCTCCTCTCCCGGAGTGTTGCAGCATGAGAGGGACAGTAATAGCTCTCCTACACTCATGACTCCATTGGGGCCAACTCTCCAGCCCACTGCCAGTGGTGAGAGCCAAAGGGAGGGAAGTGATCTCTCCCTCAACCAATGCCACTGCAATGCAGACAAGAGGCACGCTGATCCTTCCACACTCACAAACTAGAGATCAACTCACCTACAACATTCAGATCTAGGGCCAGCTGCATTGTTATGCCCAGGTGAGGTACATAGCCTGCTCTCCTGAATGGTCCAGCAAGTAAGGGGCAGGGACAGCTTTCCTCCTTTCATGACCCCACAGCCATGTTTCCTGCCGGCAGCAGGAAACTGTTGAGAGGCAATGACTAGGAGGGTATTTTGCTTTCACCCATACCACCACATGGGAAATGAATGGTGGGGTCAGCTCTCCCACTCTTTCATCCTCCGGAGTCTCACCTGCAACTGCCACAAGGTCCAGGGCCCACTTTCCCAAGTACTGCCATTGGGAGTACTTGCTCTCCTGCTCTCATTCCCCCAGGGTTGGCTCTTCCATCATGCCCAGGTAAATGGTTGGACCAGTTTTTCATGACCCTCAGACATCAAGGTGACAAAGGGAGGCAGCTCAGACCAGGGCCAGCTGCCTGGCCTTTGGTGGTAAGAGCTTTGTAGTCCGCTGTTGTAGGGCTACAGTTGTAAAAGTGGTCCCTAGGGCAGCCCAGGCCAGGACCCCACCACGTTCCGAGGTGGTATCACTGGCTACTCATATCAGGCTGTTTCAAGTCTCCAGTTTTGCCTCTCTTTATTGTGACCACATCCATCTGTTTCTCTCTCTCTCTTTTTTCTCTCCATTTCTTCACCAGTTACTTTTTTCTTTTAGTGGCTCTTGGGGTCTCGGTATCTGGAGTTGTCTCAGAAGTGGTCCTAGGAGTGTTGGACTCACTGATGCATTATGGCACCAGGTAGAAGTCAGCTCAGGGCTGGTCTATCCCACAGACCTGAACAGTGCCGGGCAGGTGTTCATATCAGGCTAGCTCCCTGCTTGAGCACGATAGTGACTGTCTGGTGATCATCTTGGCTCCCTGCTTGGCCCAACCAAGCAGTCCCATGAAAGGGCTGTCTAACTCGGGCACACTCCTGCTGGGACCTATGGTCCCAGGTGGGTTCTTTTAGTCTCTAACTTGTTCCCCTCCTGGGAACTTGCTCAGACATATGCACAAGCAGAACTGGTGGCTGTCTCAGGATAGACCCTGTCTAGGCTCCCGGCACCAGACTGGTGGTCATCTCAGGCTTGCTTTTCTCAAGGTATGTTAGGTTACTAACCATGCAGATGTGCATAAGTCAGAATACTGAGCAGAGACACAGTCTCTCCTCTCAGCCATGTACTGGTGCACATGTGACACAGTGGCCACACCTGTAATGCCTGTAGGGGCAGGCCAAGGCCTCTTATAAAAGGGCATGTTTAATCTAAGAGCTCACAGTCCCAGAGGTCAGATTTTATTTCTATCATGGTGGAGAGCAAAAGAGGAGGCACAGCATTAAAGCAGTAGCTGAAAGGTTACTCCTTGATCCACAAGCACAGCAAGGAGTGCTAACTGCAAAAGGCATGGGCTACTGAAACCTCAAGGTCCTCCCTCAGGGACACACCTCCTCCAACAAGGCCGCAAGGCTTAATCCTTCCCAAACAGTTCCACCAGCTGGGGAGTAAGTATTCAAACATGTGAGCCTAAGGGGACATTCTCATTGAAACCGCAGCACTATTCATAAAATTTTGTCCTCATTATTTGTGCTTTACAATTAAATTCTCTTCTTCAAGTCAAGAAATTTTGTTATTTGAATTCACTGATTTTGTTCTCTGTCAATCCAGAAAGAATTAAAACTCCAGTTAATGGGTTTTCTGTAATTTTTATTTTGTTATATATCGTATATTCTTTTGCTTCTATTTTCTCTTATTTCAGTGACTGACTGATGAGACATTTTTTTGGCACCAGATAATTTCATGCAAGTTAAATGGTAATCCCTTCCACCAAATGTAAAATATTCTAGGTTCCTAATTTAACAAGCTGTTCAGTTTTACTTCTATTTTTTTTTTTGTTTTGTTTTGTTTTGTTTTCATGTGAGGAGATTCTAAAGTTTATTTGAATATCATTTAGATATTGTGTTTAGGGCTAGAATTTATGACATAGTCTACTAAGGAAGTCAAAAGCAGCTGAATGTTGATATTTTTAATTGTTTTGTCAGCTTTGTCTGTATGATATCATTGCAACACCTTCATCCCAGCTCATGACCTCTGTGAGTGTGTATGTGGGGAGAAGTATAGATTCCAGTGTCTCTCGTGGTTACAATTTTTCTTTCTCTTTTTCCAAATATGGGTATGAGGATTTATACTGCCTTTGGTTGCCAGTTAAAACTTCCACTTGGAATCCCAAAACTGCTAAATTTTATTGTACTAGTTTTACATATTTCACTTTAATGCCTCTGTTTTTATTTTTAAGGAGTGAAATTATAATTAATGAAGCAGATAAATGAGACTGTATCAACTGTTTGAACTTACAGTCTCAAGGGCAATATGGCAGATTTTTTGCTTGTAATATGAATCATCTTAATGACAATTTGCTCTCAATATATCTATGTTTTGAGATATATATATATATATATATATATATATATATATATATATAT